TTTCATTATATATCTAGGAACGCTTGCATTGTATATGACTATAGCTCGCCTTTTAAGTGCGGGGTCTAATTCTTGCTCGCAAAATACTTTTCATAATTTCATGTAATATTAGCCAAGCGCTGAAACTTTTCATTGAATAAATTATCTTTTCTAGCCATAGTATGTCGCGTTCGGTTTATACATATGCGTAAACTTTCTTCAATTTAAAAATATTGTTTCTTATACTATACTTTCAGTCCACTATATGAAAATGTTAGCGGAATGTACGTGCGATTATCTGGCAAAATTTGCGGTAGAGCTTGTACTCGGCCTGAGGGTGGGCATCACTATAAGTGTAAAAAACTCGTTCCTTGTTCCGGTTGCGATAAACCTACTGGTGGACGATGTAATTTACACAAACGAGGATTTTACATGATTCGACATGTTAAAACTTACGCAGTGGTGCCGCAGAAAAAGTTAGTTTACAATAACGGTTAACTTATTCATACCTAAAGCGCTTTTGAGCTTATCTTTACAAGGACAGCGGTCAGGCTTATTTTTGTGTCTAAAGCGTTTTTTTACGCCGTACGGCAAGGACAGGAGTTGGACTTATTTTTATGTCTAAAGCATTTTAAGCATATTTTTTACAAGAACTTAGGCTAACTTATTTTTGTATGAGGCGTTCTGAAACAATTTTATGTCAATGCTCTTGTCGAAATTGACTTCATGAATATGGAATTAACTCAAATATTTCTGTCGGAAGAGTGGCGGCAATGAGCCTTCTTAGGCGTGTTTCTTTGGACTCTGGCGTACACCCCGGGAAGGAGGTATGAAACGCGTTGGCGTCATACATTATTCTTCTTGTTGATTTCTTGTGATGAATCTCTTGACAGATCGTTATAAAGTCGGTTCGACAACCGCCTCAGAAAACTATAATACAGATGGTATGCTTCTGCGTGAGTTGTCGGATTCATTTTTGATGAAGTACGCTGTTGTCATACTTGATGAGGCTCATGAACGTGCTATGCGAACTGACATTTTGTTTGGGATGGTGAAAAGAGCCCAGAATGAGTGGAAGTAGTTTAACTGCGAAAATTCAAATGCTAACAAAGGAAGTTAGTCGTATCCTTGAAAACGCAATGCAAGCTTTATTACCGAGGCAATTCCAAGATAGTTCTATTTCAGTCTTTGAAATCTCGTCTCCTGGCATAGAGTCTTTGTCAGAAAAATATCCAAAATTTAGCGTAACAACGAATAGGCCGTGCTGGACGCGGGGTGAGCGAGGCACTATGGTAATTTGCCAGTCGTGATGAAAGAAAATCAATGAGCCAAGCGCATTATTCTTTAGGGTCCAGGTTCATGCTATCGGTTATATACAGAAAAAGGCGAGTTAGAACATAAAATAACACCAAGAATCAAACACCGCAATCTGGCATCTGTCATCCTAATGCTAAAGGCATTCGGTGTCGATGATGTTATTATTTGGACACACCGGCGAGGAATATGCGTACGTCATGTTTCTACTTTGTATCGTCACAGTGCTTGTCCAATTTCTTTTTTCGTTACTCGGGCTTTTTCTGGTACCTCAATAGTCAAGAAAGCAAGTATGCGCCTTTAAAGATTGGGAGAAGAATGGCCGACTTTCCACTTTTGCGAAAGTTCTTCTAGCGTCAAAGGTGAATTACTATATTTTCTTGCGTTCATATTATTTGATACGCATATCTTTGATACTTTCAGCAAAAGTCTTCGTAAGTGATAGGATATGCGTTTGGTTTCCCTTATAACGACATGTAAGTTGTTAGAAAAAAAAGAATCAGCAATGTTTGGTATTGGTTGACCATACAATCTTGTACATGTTTCATCGATGCTTTTAATGTTAGCGCGCTCAATAGCTATACGACAAAGTGATGCCAAGTCAGCAGCAAGGTAGCCGTGGCATTTGTCAGAGATGTCGTCCAAGTTGGTGTTGGGAACTGTCTTAAGGCCATTAGTCAATGTTTCCAATATTTCGCGTCTCTGTACGAGTGTTGGCATTCGAGATGAATCTCGTCCTAGTTGGCGCGAATGGTTAGATTAACAGTATTAAAAATACAACCCGCCGTAAATAGCACTGTACCTGAAAAATTGTTCTGACAAGCGAGTTGAGTTTAGAGATATCTGTCGAAGTTCCGATCTATTCAAATGTTATGTAATTGAACGAACACTATTTATTTTGGCTATACTTACCAGACGTCTTTGCTTATGATAGATGCGTAATAATACATGCCTCATGCATCGCTTCATTAACAGGAAAGAAAAGCTCTATATCCTCAAAGATGACTGTCTGAAGGGAGAAAAGAATCCATACTGCTATTCCCATCAGCCAGAAATCATTACAGATTACTTACGTATACATGGTTTTTCTTTCACAACTTTGGTCAAATAAGTCCGTATACCTTTATCTGGATATGCAGGGAATTCAGCCGTTAGGTCTCCAACTGTAATGGAGAAAATCTGTTCAGATTTAGTCGAATGCGTAGAACGGACAAATATCGGGGCTATAAGGCCACGTATCACCTTAACTTTAAATAGTCTTGCGTTATTATAATGCCAGCAGGTTCATTAACAAGAATGAATTTCGGAATATCAATGTTTATGAATCAAACATTCGGCTCTTCTGCTGAATGCCAGATCGAACGATTGATGGAGTCTCGCATCGATTACTTTAGTATTGACTAACACTATTATTGTGATCACGTATAAATTTATGTTGCACAAAAGTCGCAGTAATTTTTATTATTCACTCAAAACTGCAATAAAATAAAAAGGGCAAAATATCTTGTCAATTTATTTCATAATGATATAATGAAACCTGTCTGTTGTCGTTACGAGCCTCGCGGTTTATTTACTCGCGGTCTTGCAGCTCGAGGCGGGTTTCGTCGCGGTTGTGGTGGCTGCGCCGTATCGACCCTATAAAACAAACGTAAGTAAATATCTAACCTGTAATAACACAAGTTTACTAAAAACTTACTGCCTTCTGTTTGAATTTTGTGGTCTTGCGGCTCGAGGTGGGTTGCGTCTCGGTTGAGGTGGCACCACAATCTCCCTTTAAAGCAATATTATTAATATCTTGCCAAACTTAATGATAGATGACGTCACGAAACTTACTGATTCCTCGTATCGATCGATGCTTGTTGGGTCGAGGAGTCTGGTGATTGTGATGGAGGTGCTGTTCAAAAAAAAAGTTTACTTTAGTTAGAACGCTTTATAAATAAGTATTGTATGTTGAAAGTGTTTATTTTCACTTAGTCTACCTGGATTATCTCGCACCACGTCTCTTCTTCGCCCTGGCCCTCTAGGTGGGTAGTCGACCACGGGCGGGAGAGAAGGGGACATCCCTATTTGAGAAAAAATAACACTTGTTTAAACAAAAAAAAAAAAAAAAACGAATAAATAATTTAATGATTTCATTTATCTTACCCCGTTGAGGAGGATAATTTCCCCGAGGCACCAAGACAGGTCTATTTCTTGGAAATAACCTATTCATGGCATTAGTCGCCCTCAAACCCCACGGTGGAATAGGGTGAGGACGTCTTTGCAGCGTGACGGAGACGTAGTCCGCCGGGCGGCTCATTGCCAAATTGAGCCCCCTGAGACTAAGTTCCAGTCTCCGCTCTCTTTCATAGAAAGCTTGAGGAGCGATATGCTCCTCCCGCTGCGATATCCAATGAATAGTTACCTGTCTTCGGTTCTCCCTTTCCTCCTGACGCATTCGCTGGCTATACAAATGCCAGCGCGAAAACCTTCGAGTTTCATCCCACCTCGGCAGGTCTCGCCACCGCTGATAATCTTCGAGGCGCCTCAAATAAGCCCGGCGCCTTGCGTTAAAGTGACGGCTTATCTGCCAGTCACAGTACGCCAGATGTAGACCTACAATAAAAGCTGTGAAAAAAAGAATAAAAATATATGGTTGGTAGTATCCCTGACCCGCAGGAATAGCACCGGTTAGCCAAGAAAATACGACAAGAATATTTGATGCGACCAGCGCATTAAAATGTCGCCTCCTAATGGAAGCGAGGGCGACTTGAACTTGTTCTCCGTCCCTCGCCAGTCGTGCTGACACAACAAAACTCGGAACGGAGAAAAAATTTTGTGCGCTTGTGTCGTATGCCATTTGTAAACGTCCGCTTATTATCTTTTGCAAGGTAAAAAGCGTAAAGCGCGTTATTTTGTTTACAAGGAGCTTTTATTATTTTTTAGAGTTCACGTGGTATCTCGATAAAACACGCGATTACCACGTTACTATTACGTCGACTACTGCGGCATTAGAACAATTGAAAGTGATAATCCCGAATAATTATTAATTAAATATCTTCTTTCGGCAAGTAAATTAACCACTTGCGGAAACGATGCGAGATTTGCACACAGGTTACTTATTCCCTATAAAGGTTTCCTGCTTTAATAAGGAAATTACTTATTATTATAAATTTATAACATTTTCTATGAATAAAATACACCTAAGGCCTACACCTTGGCATTTTGTATGTCAACCCCCGTTCCCTTGAACTGTGTCTATTATTAAGCGCTGACGGGATCGAAACCTTGTATTCCTATTGGTCAACGTTTACCGTGCAATGCACAATTCTCATTGTATCGTACGATTGGCGAACATACAATTTTGTCTTACGGTTCATGAACATACGCTTACGGTTGATGAACATACAATTTTATTTATCGTATCATTCCTTAACAGCCGTAATATTAAACACCCGATAACCCAATTTTGTAAACATATTATAATAAATCGTGTACCGCCTCTCATTGCTTTGCTGATAAGGTTTATGTAAGTCATTTGATAGATTTCCCCCATTACATTACTTCTTTCATTTTTATATTTTCCAAAGCTCTTATTGCGTAGAACCTTGTCTTTGGAAATATGCCAGCCTTTGAAAACGTAACAGTGTTCGGAATTGTTGAATCGTTTTACGATATCTATATTACATAGTTTAACCCAATGAGTGGTATCCATGCTCCATCCTATATCATTCGAAGCATAAATAATGGCGTTGCATATGCATATTATCGGTAAATAAACGTGTGGGTATTTGTTTAATAGTTTCAGCATTATCGGGACTAATATCTGGGGCAGTAGCCATTAATTCCGCATCAGCGACTCCCTCCTCCGCATCTTTCCTATTATCATCAAATGCGTTTGTTTGCACGATTAGTTTAGCTGAGCCAGTGCCTTCTTCGAAGCTATACGACAGACAAGTCGGCCATCAGAGCCCAGCGCCTGGCCGGCTTATCGAGGCTGACTGTGTACGTCTTATGATTTCGTGACTCACTAATACTAAGGGGTTTATTATAACTAGTATTTTAAACAGTATTGCAAAATAAATTACATTGATGTTAGGTGCGCGTTGACATGTAAATGTTCTTAATGTAGTAAGTGTTGATGTTTAAATCAACAGACAAATGCAAATACGCAGTAATTGCTTAGCGTTTGATTTTATCGGCAGTTCTTCCTATCTAGTAAACGTAAACTAGCGACTGAAGTTAAAATATGTACAGTGTAATTTTTTTTGGTACAATACCCAATGGTAGATTATAAATCACGTGTACGCACATCATTTCATCACGTACCAACATTCTTTC